AATTCTACTATCCGTCAAATCTGAGATCTGCATGTTCTGCCGTTTTATAAAATTCATATGAGAAAAATTTGAAAAATCTGTTTCTGACCCCCAAAATCGTCATTTTCGTTTCCCACATTTTTCAGAATGAACGAATTCACTCGAATCGTTTTGTAAAATGTTAATTACTACTATCCGTCAAATCTGAGATCTGCATGTTCTGCCGTTTTTCAAAATTCATATGAGAAAAATTTGAAAAATCTGTTTCTGACCCCCAAAATCGTCATTTTCGCTTCCCACATTTTTCAGAATGAACGAATTCACTTGAATTATTTTGTAAAATGTTAATTACTACTATCCGTCAAATCTGAGATCTGCATGTTCTGCCGTTTTTCAAAATTCATATGAGAAAAATTTGAAAAATCTGTTTCTGACCCCCAAAATCGTCATTTTCGTTTCCCACATTTTTCAGAATGAACGAATTCCCTCGAATCGTTTTGTAAAATGTTAATTACTACTATCCGTCAAATCTGAGATCTGCATGTTCTGCCGTTTTTCAAAATTCATATGAGAAAAATTTGAAAAATCTGTTTCTGACCCCCAAAATCGCATTTTCGCTTCCCACATTTTTCAGAATGAACGAATTCACTTGAATTATTTTGTAAAATGTTAATTACTACTATCCGTCGAATCTGAGATCTGCATGTTCTGCCGTTTTTCAAAATTCATATGAGAAAAATTTGAAAAATCTGTTTCTGACCCCCAAAATCGTCATTTTCGTTTCCCACATTTTTCAGAATGAACGAATTCACTTGAATTATTTTGTAAAATGTTAATTACTACTATCCGTCAAATCAGAGATCTGCATGTTCTGCCGTTTTATAAAATTCATATGAGAAAAATTTGAAAAATCTGTTTCTGACCCCCAAAATCGTCATTTTCGTTTCCCACATTTTTCAGAATGAACGAATTCACTCGAATCGTTTTGTAAAATGTTAATTACCACTATCCGTCAAATCTGAGATCTGCATGTTTTGCCGTTTTTCAAAATTCATATGAGAAAAATTTGAAAAATCTGTTTCTGACCCCCAAAATCGTCATTTTCGCTTCCCACATTTTTCAGAATGAACGAATTCACTCGAATTATTTTGTAAAATGTTAATTACCACTATCCGTCAAATCTGAGATCTGCATGTTCTGCCGTTTTTCAAAATTCATATGAGAAAAATTTGAAAAATCTGTTTCTGACCCCCAAAACCGTCATTTTCGCTTCCCACATTTTTCAGAATGAACGAATTCACTCGAATTATTTTGTAAAATGTTAATTACTACTATCCGTCAAATCTGAGATCTGCATGTTCTG